GATTTACGCAGTGGCTACTGGCAGATCGAAGTTGATGAACGCGACCGAGAGAAAACAGCATTCATAACGCCTGATGGTCTGTACGAATTCAAGGTGCTGCCCTTCGGTCTGTGTTCTGCCCCTGCGACATTCCAGAGGATGATGGATACAGTGCTCTCCGGTCTCAAGTGGGAAGCATGCCTTGTTTACTTAGACGACGTCGTTGTCTTCTCCCAAACGTTTGAGCAGCATTTGCAGCGACTTAGATCTGTGTTTGCTGCAATTCGCACGGCAGGCCTATCACTGAAACCCGAAAAATGTCATTTTGGTTACAACGAATTAAAGTTCCTCGGTCACCTTGTTAGCCCTGATGGTATTCGGCCGGACCCAGACAAAACATTGGCTGTCGCAGATTTTCCACCACCTACCAACAAACGTGATGTGCGTCGATTTTTAGGCCTCTGCGCATACTACAGACGCTTTGTGCAAAATTTCGCAAACATTGCCGAACCCCTCACTCGTCTGACAAAAGACGACGTTCCCTTCGTGTGGGGCCTTGAGCAAACACGCGCTTTCTCCGAGCTCCAGCAGCGTCTCCAATCTGAGCCCTTACTCGGACACTACGACGAATATGCCGACACTGAACTACACACAGACGCCAGTAACATCGGCCTTGGTGCAGTCCTTGTCCAGTGGCAAGGCGGTGTCGAACGCCCTATTGCTTATGCGAGTCGGATTTTATCATCTGCGGAGGCAAATTACACAACAACTGAAAAGGAGTGCCTAGCTGTTGTCTGGGCAATAGCTAAATTCAGACCGTACCTGTATGGTCGCCCGTTCAGAGTTGTTACCGATCATCATGCGCTCTGCTGGTTGGCGAACCTTAAAGACCCTTCCGGACGTCTGGCCAGGTGGAGCTTACGCCTTCAGGAGTTCGATTTGACAGTCGTGTACAAGTCTGGCCGGAAGCATACTGACGCGGACTGCCTTTCCCGAGCTCCTCTTAAGACAGTGTCAGGTGATCACGATCTCGACGGCCGTTTTCTCTGCGCCGTTAGTGTATCCGACTTGGCCGAACAGCAGAAGAACGATTCCGAGCTTCGACAATTCATCGAATATCTCGAAGGCCGTACGCCGCATCCACCACCAGCATTCGCCCGCTCGTCATCATCGTTCTGCGTCCGCAGAAATATCCTCTATAAAAGAAACTTCGACCCTTACGCGACTGAGTACCTGCTCGTTGTCCCGCCAGCGTTACGAGCCGATGTCTTGTCCGCCTGTCACGATGAGCCTTCCTCAGGCCACTTGGGATACACACGTACCTTGGCCCGGATTCGCCAACACTACTACTGGCCTAAGCTCAGTCGAGACGTGAAGCATTACGTGAAGACGTGTCACGAGTGCCAGCGCCGTAAAGCACCACATCAGCGCCCAGCCGGCTTTTTGAAGCCCATCGCTCCTCCGACACAACCGTTCCAACAAATAGGCATGGATCTACTCGGACCTTTTCCCAAGTCTCGTGACGGCAACCGCTGGATTGTAGTCGCTACTGATTACATGACGCGCTACTGCGAAACGAAGGCATTACAACGTGGCACCGCCATTGAGACTGCCCACTTTTTTATGAAAAACATCGTCCTCCGACATGGAGCACCAGCAGTTGTCATAACTGATCGTGGCACAGTTTTTACCGCCCGGATGATACAAGACGTCATGCAGCTTAGCGGCACATACAAGCATGCTAGCATCTGTGGAAATAATAGTTTCAGAACTTGTACTAGTGGCAATATATATATATCTACGTCAAGCTACAAAAACGAGGACAGCGGAAATTTAAAAAAAAGGAGGAAGAAATGGCAAGGAATAAACTTCCAAACTTCTGCGAGCTATACACAGACAATTCAGAGGACCCTCAACTAGTGGTCGTGCCACAGTTTGGTAGCACGCATAAAATTTTAAACGACCGGCCAAGAGGCTCTACTAACACACAACACAGCATAGCAGAAAACCTAATTAACCTCTAATGTTCAACTTAGCAGTCATGAACGAACAGTAATCTCCCGCGGACTCACTTTTGTCCCACTACTATACAGCCTATACAATCTGTTCTCCTTATTACATGACGTCGATAACTTCGCACGGAATCTTTGCCTGCAGAAATACTGTTTCGACAAACCCCAGAGAGAAACCAGTACCATAATACCTTTTAGTTCAAGGTAACAGTGGACACAAAGCTCTCAGATGGAGAAGAATCTAAATACCTACATCGAAGCCATTCAAAAACCTTCAAAAAGACATACTTTGGGACTATAACACACAGAAACTGGCAGCAGCCCGAACCTCTCAAGAAAGAAGTATGAAGCACTTAAGGCTCCCAGAGATCGAACGGATATCGTCATAAAACCAGCTGATAAAATGGGGGAATTGAAGTATTAAATGAATCCGACTATATCCAAGAGGGCGCCCGCCAATTAACCAACACTTCTTTCTACAAATAACTGGATAGAGATCCAACCCTAGAACACCAAGCAATAATAACCGCCGCACTCGATGATCTGGTAGAACTCGGAAAGTTAGATCCTAAACTCTCCAAGGCACTTACTGTAGCACGTGCCAAACTTGGACAGATTTTATATGCTTCTGAAAATACACAAAACACGAAACACCGACGAGCAATAATTTTAGAAAGACGTACCTCACTGAACCATTGTCAAGTTACATAGACTCCCTAATTAAGAACATACCTCCTACACCCCTGTTACCTACGTGATACCCACCGCCCCGCCGCGGTGGTCTAGTGGCTAAGGTACTCGGCTGCTGACCCGCAGGTCGCGGGATCCAATTCCGGCTGCGGCGGCTGCATTTTTAAAGGAGGTGGAAATGTTGTAGGCCCGTGGGCTCTGATTTGGGTGCACGTTAAAGAACCCCAGGTGGTCGAAATTTCCGGAGCCCTCCACTACGGCGTTTCTCATAATCAAATGTTGGTTTTGGGACGTTCAACCCCTTATCTATCTACGCGATACCCACTACCTAATTAGGACGATCAAAGATCTAACAATTCATGAGGATGCCTTCCTTGTAACTCTTGATGTAACTTCTGTTTACACCAGTATTCCACACAGTGGTGGCATCAAAGCATTAGTAGAGTCCTATAGTTCACATAAATCTGATGTCTCACCAAACCCAATAGTCATTAAAACCTTTGCTAAGTTGGTGCTTCAACTCAAGAGCTTCGAATATTAAACCAATACTACTTACAAATTGATGGCACGGCTATGAGGACTCGTATGGCATCTAACTACGCAACATCTTCATGAGTGGAAGGGGTTAGTTAGCCTGAGGAGTGAAACTTCAGGACTTATCACTGGAATGTGCTTAATTTAGCCACCGGGACAATTTACCGACCTGGACCCAAAAAATGGCTGAATTTTATGTATAGAAAACGAGCGCTGGAGCTTCCAGGACTCAGCCTGACGGTGAGAGCACGCACTACTCAGATGCTCCCGCAGACGAGAGTGGCGGCAGGTATAGGCGGTTCGTGCGCACATCGCCGTAACAAAACCAAAAGGCGCTGGCGCTGCTGCTGCGTATTCAAGTGCAACAACATATAAATAGAGGGGGACGTATAGAGTAATTGGAGGACGTAGAAAGAGAAGGTGGCGTTGTTCAAGTGGTCAGGCGAGCAGAATTCTGCTCTCGCGCTCCTGTCTAGTGCTGTCGAATGGGACGTGTCTTCTATATTTATTCGGTAGTGAAGACGGCCACCAGTGAAAATCAGGGCCAAACTGTCGAGTTCAAACGGCGTTTTGCCGGAAATAGAACGAGCGTTTTATGCAAGATATGGCCTATGTAAACTTTCTTTATCTGGTCCGCTGAGCAACGAGTTGCGCTTCAGGACTAAAAAAATTCCATGCGTCCATTCATTGACCACCACCACAACGCCCCATCAGATGCCAAAGTGAATGATACCTTAGGAAGGTAGTCCTTTTTTTGTAAGCAGTTGGGTGTAAGGAAAACTAGCTTGTCCACAAGACTTCTGTGGGGCCACGTTCACCAACGCCTCTTAGCTGATATAAAAGATACTCTCACAGTGAACACTCGATACCGAGATGCCACTGTGTAACTTAATTTGTGCAAAAGAGAGGGTTCTTGTAACGAACAAAGCAGCGGACTACTCGAAGGTTAGCTTTCTGAAGTCAGCCGATGCGGTAAGCGTTTTTCTCAATGGCTGCCGTGGCTAAGTAACATCGGAATTTAGGCCTTGCTAGAGAACTATAAATGTCTTCAATTTTCCCTCATTCGTTAGATGGCCTAACACACAGTTTCGGTTTTTCCGCTTGCCTGTGTCGGCTTAAAATGAAGATGTCTGTTCAACGCCGTTAATTGCTATAGGCGTTCATGTGCCAAACAAGATATCATTCGGAGGTACGCTGTAGTGCGCGTATCAAGATTGTGACTGCTTGCAGTTGTCCAATCTTATATCTTGGTTCACGGGTGTTCTTCCTATATTTCACCCCCATCAATGTGCGGCCGCTGTGGTCGCTAATACATCCCGCGCCCTCAAGAATAGCAGTGTGACACCACACCTGCTATGCTGCCACAGAGGTCAGATTAAATCAGTTTAAAATCTGCACTGGTACTCACCTCTTGTGTTCATAGTCTAAAATTTCTTGCGCTGAGCAGTTTGATAAGGACAGGTACATCAAGGATCATGCCGCTAGCTGATGTGTGCATATAGCATAAATCTGCGACGCACTGGCGTGCACTGGTTCACTTTGCGCCATTCTCACCGAGTAGGATGTGCCTCGGTCTCCCTGTTTCTTAACACATATCGCACCTCATCCTCAGCATCCCCCCCTCTTCGCTATAGTCATGGGACTACTTCTTTAATAAAACTGGTTCCTTCATCTTCTTAGCAGACAAATCGCTAAAGCTAATCACAAAAAACATTTTTTTCTAGCTACAAATTATCCGTCTGGTCATTTTCAGTTTTAATGATCACGCTGTGTTTTAATACACAGGAATGGCAAATAAGGGAAAGGCCTGCAGGAATGGCAAAGCTGCCTTAGGGTTGGACCGGCCTGTTACCTTTTCCGGTGTCCAGACGTCGGCTCATGAAATCGCTCATTTGTAAGTACCTTGAGGAGCTCAAACGCTTGCGACTTAGGATACGTATCTATGCATAAGGAGAGCAAGAATCTTGATTGAAGGTTTACAAAATATTTCGGACCATCCTCGCAATGTACATGAATGTAAAAAAGAGAGAATAATGTCAGTGTTAAAGTATGGATATTAGATCTGGAGTACCGGCAGGGAGCACGTTAGCAGCCCGAACTTTGTAAATTATTTTTTGATGAATTCGGGAGTTGGAGAAAATCGAGTGTATCTGGGATGATAACTAGTAAAAGGAGTATATTAAAATGAGAAATACAGGGCTGTGATTGTCAATATGTACATTATATAGTTTATGTTTCTTCTTAGAAACTCGAATTGTTATCTTAGCTTTGGGATGACACCATTAATGCACAGTCTGTTAGTGCATGGTTGAACAACTGCATGGTGTATCAACACAACGAAATAGAGCCCCTTTCTATGTTTTTCAATTGATTTTTCCTTCTGTAGCAAAACAATCATTCATTGCTGATATGAAATCAGCGGCAAGTTTGCAGCGCCTTCACCTTTCAAGGTGACTACTGGCCTCTTGCCTAATCGCTTTAAGGGGATGGCGTTATCTTGCCAGCAGTTCCATATCATCAATGGGTGCTTGTTTTGCTCGCCGCGAGATGACGCGAAAAGAGACTGTGGTTGCTTTCGCTCCAACTTCGGCGCGCTGCCAGCGGCCACTGGAGGGCGTATATAGGCCTCGTGCTCCCGTGTTCCCTTTTATAAATATTGCAGTGTTCATACATGCATATCTCGTCTCAACCTATTCAGAATTGCCATGAATCAATATCGCAATTGTGAATGAATTTTTTACACAAGACATTCATCCTAAACACCACTCTCCCAAATATTAAACTAGTTAGTCACGGGAAAAGAGACAGCTGCGGTTATACGGGATACACTATATAGACCTGTGCTTAATTGCGTCTTGCGTACTTGCAGTGCATACATGTTAAACGAGCTGAATATGCAAAGTGCCGGCGATTGTGGTGGCATAGTTGTCAATGTGCTCAATTATACGCGAACACCATTGGTTCGATCCCGACAGGGCGGTTGCATATGGATGGAAGCGAAATACTAGAGGCCCGTGTTAGGGCAAAGCCTGTTTGGTTTAAGTGCACGTTAAAACCGCGAGGTGGTTGAACTTACGGAGCCTTTCACTATGAAATACCTCATAATGTCATTGTGGTTTTAGCTAGAAAACTGAAACAAAATATTCCTCGTTGTAGTAATAGGGTTGCGAAGCACCAAGATAGGTGAGCGAGAAGTTTCACCTTCATTGCAACCTTATTTGCAGTGCGTACATCGACCTCATGTTTCTTTTCTGGTAGCACTCTTTATAATGAAACAAAATATCTTCAAGTTACACTTGCAAGGCGATTTTGATTGATTGATATTTGGGGTTTAACCTCCTGAAACCACCATATGATTACAAGAGACGCAGTAGGGGCGGGCTCCTGTCCTTCCAAGGCGAACGAAACATGCTGGCAGAGAGTAATTATCTTGCCCACTTTTACTAAACAGAACCACTTCGCTTAGGAAAGCAGCCTTCAGACTTCAGTGCTCACCATTTTCGAGCTTGCCTCCATCCAACTGCTGCAGTATAGCCTCATGCTACATTCGTTCAATGACCACAGGAGGAAACTGTATTTGGCATGAGGCGGATGATGAATTATCTTGTTATTGTGCAGTCAGAAGTGACTGCAATGCTTGCTTCCCGTAGATAATATAAAACCCTTGAATTCAAATAGCGTGCACTACATTGTAAAGTAATTAGCGATGAGTTACATGTGATGCTCTTTAAACAGTGATTAGTTAAAGTATTATTATGCGGAGCTCATTGAACAAATGTCACCTGTTATTTTATCTCATTATATCCTGAACTTCGCCTGGGTAAATATTAACATTCTTTTTATACAGGTTGAACGCTGACCATGATGGTCACGGCACAGCAAAGAACTGCTCAGGTGATGAGGGTTACATAATGAGCAGCCCACGAAGGAACGGGAATAACAGCTGTGCATTTTCCAACTGCAGCAAGAATGACATCGCCGACTTTTTGACGTAAGCTTCCCGGCAAGACTCACAATACCTTTTTTTATAGTTAAAACTGTACATAAAAAAGAAAATTGATTGCGATGTGTTGAATTTTATTGTGAATCAAGATAATGAAGATGACCTGAACCACAGTTGTAGTAAGCCCATAAACAAAAAGCATTCGCGCTTTTTGTTACGGTGACAGAGTCGAAACAAAATAGTAATGTTCAATTACCTGACAATAAACCAGTTTGTCCTGGCTAGGCGGGTAACCACCAATCAAAACTGGTTTTTTTAACACGAAACAAAAAATACAGTCTCTTCCATCTTCTTGTTGGACACATGCCCATGCCCATATGCTAAATTGTTTTTTTTAGGGGCGAAGCTCCTTAGGGCGTCGGCTGTGCGTCCCGTGTAGCCTGTAAGTAGCCACCTCTACTTTAGTTCTTGCAGTGTTCACTAGATGGCGGTACCGTCCCCTGTATGTAGCCACCTCTAGTTTAGTTCTTGCAGTGTTCACTAGATGGCGGTACCGTCTCCTGTATGTAGCCACCTCTCGTTTAGTTCTTGTAGTGTTTACTAGATGGTGGTACTTGTAGCTGATGATGAAAAGATGGAAGATGTTATAAACTAGAAAGCGGTACTTGTAGTTGATGAAGACGCGAGATCTTACAAAATAGGAATGACGTCACATATGGCGCGTGTCATTGGTTGAAGGCAATCGTTCGATTTAGTGCGGCGACGTACGCTAGGGGGAGCAATGTAATAAATCGAGTGGGCAAAATGTACAGAGGATTCATGGTTTACCAGGTTTACCTCCGGAGCTTCGCCCACTCATCATCATTCACTTCGTGGATATGGCGGAATTTTTTTGTTCTTAACAAAGGCTGTCATTGGTGTGCTTACTATAATCTGTTGTATATCTCTGTTTTGCCAAAGAACTTCGGGCGTCGTGTTGCTCATACCAAATCTGAGGGCTATTTTTCCAACCTAAATAACAAGCTACAGATCCGCATTGACACGATGAGTACTTTGACCAACATGGAAAAGAATTAGTCCTTACTAGGGGTGTGGGATAGTCAACTTTGGAAACAAAACAAAGAATAAATCAATATTGATGCCACTGAATTGAATACGAATAGTAAATGAATGATGTAAAAATAGTTTTGAACAGTAAGTACACCATTTTCAAAACAATTATTGAACGCAACATTTTATTTGAAACAGTTATTCACAAACTGTCACCAAAGAATGTTCGGTTAGGTATAACTAAAGTAATAGACCACAATGGTATCGTATAGTATGAAAAATATTTATTTAGGTCCATCGGGGCGAACTAGCGCGTAGCGGGCCGCTGCCACGTCGGGACAGATAGGCCTAACCTGTCCACCACGTCGTGGGCCCATTGGACTGCAAATAGCTGCGTCCCTAAATCCGTACTGTGTAGCGCAGCAAAAGCCCTTGACGATGTAACGCTTTTCACCCGTAATGGAGGGCACCGCCAGAGCATATGATCTGAGCTGGCAAAGCCCGAGGAAAGCGCGCAAGCGTTTGACGTCTGAATGTCAGGGTAAATTTTGTGCAAGAGTGCGGGTCTGGGATATACCCCGCGGCCTGCAGGAGTCTGAGCGGCAATGCCTGAGGCCTGTTTAGTTTACTGTGCGGTGGTGGATACTTTCGCCTCCTCGGATAAAAGCTCTTGCAAAGCTCATTGTACGTTGTTGGAGGATCTTTTTTTCCAGAACCTCGTCGTCACAATGTACCCCAAAAAGGTAAACTAATATAAGTTATACTGCCAGGACTAGAGCTATAGTAATATTTTATGACTCAGGTTCAAACACTGCATTCACTAAGGCTATGAACGTCAGAGTTTGTCACTTACTTTAAATTGGGACATAAAAACTAGACAATTTTCAACCAAACACTAGGAATACAGTTAAAGATGTAATGAGGCAAGTCAAGCAATCATCACAACATGGCCTGCGCACCGAAACCGTGTAACAATACGTGTTTAAATCAACATATGCAAGAACAGTTTACGCAAATACAACACTTGCATTTGTTGCTAGGTATGAAGCTTCAGTTATTGCTAGGTGAAGACAGAGCTGATCAATGCGATACAGCTTCAAGATCGTAAAAAGTGAGCAAGCGTAGAGATTTCAGTAGAGGCGGAAACGGGCTTCAGGTAGCCCGAAAGATTAAGCCTGGCCCAGCCCGTGGGCTACGCTCAGGCGGGCTGACGTCCTCTCATCTCTGGCTCGGGCTGGGCTCAGGTTACAATATTTTTTAAGTGTGAATACACTTTATAAGCAACCCCAAACCATCCACCGCCGTCGGCGGCGTCCGCAGTCTTCTCTCTATCTTTAAAAGAAAAAAGACTTGGTGGGCCACAGCGCGACGCTCTACCGAATAAGCCACGGACGCGACGCTGATATCGGTGTCAGTAACGCGCCTTATATCTTTAACGCCGCTGCGCGCGTCCCCCTCCCCCTTCGCTCGCTCCTCCGCTCTCCTCGCTCGCTGCAGCTGCGCGCGCACCCCTCTCTCTCGCGCGCCCGCCTTCACTCTCAGTCTCCCGTCGAGAGCGGGTCGTGCGATGGATGTCCCAGAGGCAACACTACCATCAACAACGAATGCAGCACAACCGAATGCCAGCACTGCACCCGTCGTTGGAGGTGACGGTACCGCGGTGGTTTCGCCGACGTTGGAAGACAAGGCGGCGCTGCGAAGGGCTCGTGAGACCAAACGTAAGCGGGCGAAGCGTGCAGCGGATGCCGAACTGCGTGCTCGCGAGGCCGAGTGCAAGCGGGCGAAGCGTGCAGCGGATGCCGAACTGCGCGCTCGCGAGGCCGAGGACAAGCGGGCGAAGCGTGCAAAGGATGCCGAGCTTCGCGCTCGCGAGGCCGAGGACAAGCGGGCGAAGCGTGCAGCGGATGGTGAACTGCGCGCTCGCGAGGCCGAGATGAGGCGTCAGCATCGAGCCGCGAACGCGGCATAAGAAGCGGAACGACAACGCAAGCGTCAGGCGGAGAAGGGTGTGAAGGCCGGCGTCAAGACGCCGCTCGCAGATCGCAACGTGGAGTGGACGTGTCCCGAAGCCGTTCGGCCAGTGACGTGCCGCGCGGGAGAGGGTGCGAGCCCTGGGCTTTGCTCGTCCGACGCGCGTTTCAAAACACGACTTTGTGGATCGCAGCTTCGGTCACAGCTGTGCCGTGGTGTGACCGGCTGTGGTTCGATAACAACCTGAGTGCATTTTCCGGCGTGAGGAACGAGACCAACAGGTTGAACGCGTGTGCGGGTTCTTTGGAACGAGTTCGGAAGACGGGTCGGGAGCGAACACCGATGCGACGACATGGATGCGCAAGACCCGCGGCTGCCTCCCTTCGGTGCGTTCCGGATGTGTGCATCTTGCCGAGAGTCCCTGCTTGCCGGGCGGATTCCGCCGTTGAGCAAGAGCCATGGCTACGCGTACCCGCCTCGTCCCGCGGACCTCCCCGATATGAACCGGTGGAAGAGCGCCTCATCTCGCCTCGACTCCCCTTCATGAGCATCAGGCGGCTCACGCGGGGCACCCGTCAGTACGGCATTAAGGGACAGATCGTGAACGTGGCCATCGACGTTCCGAGCGTGGTGGAGTGTCTTCCGCGGCTGGTTCCCGAGGACGTTGCGATAGACGTGCACGTGAAGCGGAGGCTGGTGAGTCCGGCTACGTACAGGCGCGGACTGGTGAAGCGCGGTAACATCTTGGCGTGGTTGAAGCACCTGGAGCATGCGCCGTTGTATGTCGCTAGCGGCATGCGCATCGACTGGAGTCGGCTGGGAGTCTTCTTCGATGACGATGATGCGGCCGTTTGTGAAGGTGAACGCGCCCGATGACATCGAGACTGTCCCCAAGGTCATAGATTCGGACGACCCCGTGCAACTAGTCATTGCCCTCAATGCCATGTCAAAGACGGTCTTCTTTAATGAGGAGGGTGAGCAACGACCGCGCGCTCTCTTGATGAGAGATGATTGGGAGCGAAGCGGTGAACTCGACGATGCCGCTGCCGCTGATAAGCTGATCGATCAGTCGCATATCCTGCACCTCGCTCCGGGTGAGAACCGCGTCCCACTGGCGCTCCTCATGGAAGCGTATGCGGAAGAGCTCGCCTTCCCCAAGATATACATGGGCGTGCCTCGCAAGATCATCGGTCCGCGTTCCACGCCATTCGCCATAGCCAGCAGCGAGATACGGCGCACCGACCGGCGTGGAGCAACGCCGGAGCACGTCTTGTACATGGCCGCGAAGGTGATGCGGTACAACGTTGCGGAAAGCAACATGATGTTTCGCACCAACGAGACCACTGGTTCCATCACACGCGAGCAGCTCGAGAGTGGCGGTAAGAAGTTCCTGGAGGAGCTGCTGGACCACGACCTCGCATTCCTGCGGGGCGTTCCAAATACAGTCCAGCACTGGCAGGATCGCAGGAGTGAACTCTTCGCAATGATCCGCCAGTAGGGCAAGCCGCACGCGTTCCTGACCATGTCCGCGTCCGAGGTCCACTGGGAGCGCCTGCCGCCAACACTTAAATTCATTAATTACACTTTAATCATCATCATCAGTAATAAAACTCCCAAGCATTTCCCCGAGGGTGAACATGGTTAAGTGCGAATGCACGGGGTGATGCTATGAGGGGGAGTAAAGTTAAAATCCGTTGGCATTCGCCAGTGAGTTAACGTAAACTCCCCCGTGTGATGAAATTGCGATTCCCAGGAACCATTACACCATAAAGGCTTTATAGTGTGATTAATAAATATATTAGTGCGAATTAATAAATACACCTCATAGCATCACCCCGTGCATTCGCACTTAACCATGTTCACCCTCGGGGAAATGCTTGGGAGTTTAAGTCAGGCGGGTCATACCAGATGCAAAGCCCGAGTCAAGTCAAAAATGTAGATGCCGTGGCGGAAGTGTTTTCCACTCCGTAGTGCCTTCTCCGCGGCCACCACACTCCGTTTTTTTTTGAGTTCTCTTTTCACATTGCTACTTTAAACGCAAGGGTAGAGGGTGAAACCACATAAGGTGAACTTTGTGATTATATATACATTAAATCTGAGGTACTAACGTTCTAGAAGAACCAACAGTTTAAATATGGTATGCTTGCTTTCCATGCAAAAAAAAAATATTGGCGATTCCGGCTGCCAGACGCGAGCAGCCGATGGACCTTCAGTCGGTCGGCATATCTGATGCAAAAGCACTCCACACTTCATCGAAGCTTGAACCATGAACTGCTTGATTTTCAACAACTTCCTCGCCCGCACTCGTGACCGAAACAAATTATCTCGAGTCAGGTCTGCTTCACAGCTTCGCTCTGCTCCAGCTCCGTTCAAATGTAATCGTTGCATAGAGTGACTGTTATTTGTAGTTTCCTTATGTTTAACTTTGGTATGGTGAATGGAATGACACATCATTGAAAAACGTCATGTTGTCTCCACAGCAAATATCATACCATGGAGCCGAATAGGGCCCATGGTATTATTTTTGAATGGAAGTGGGCGGGAGGGGGGGGGGGTCTGATTTGCAGTCCATCAGCGTCGGGCTCGGGTGTACCTTCGACGCCGCCAGCGGGCCCGGCCGAGCTCGTGTTCTAAATTTCAACCAGTCTACATCTCCTGTTTTCACAGGAAGCATGCGGCAATCAACATCATAAACAGCACCAGTAGTCCCGTAAACACTTGCGCTGCGTTCGGATGACTACAGGAAATAAAAGAAAAATAATCTTTAGCTGCTCCAATGCTTTGTTTGTTTCGGTGTTCTCCCCCCGGTACGAATTATTCAAGCTATTCGGAAAATATTCATTACTTTAAAAATTTGTGGAAATTCGCACAAATGTAGTTCTTATTATTGGAGATCAATATACAACACATCGCCAGGCAGCTCTCTTCACCAGATTGTCAATATTTCTAAGAGTACTACTACTACTAATTATTATTGTTATTTGTATTTTATTATTATTATTATATTATTATTATTATTATTATTAGTAGTAGTAGTAGTAGTAGTAGTAGTAGTATTGTTGTTGTTGAGATTTTTTTTTCCAAACTACGATGTGATAATGAGGGACACCATACTGAAAGCTCAAAAAAAATTTAACCGTCTGGTGCTCATGGCGGAGAAGAGTTCAGCTAACTACGTGCGCTCGTAACATCTGGTGTGCGCCGATGTGCACCTATAGGTTTAGGTACACAGGCTAGTAGCATTTCGACTCTTCTGAAACGCGGCTACCGCGTACAGAGCAGCTCACGCTTCCGAACGATTGTGTTTGTCCTGGAGCCACAGGTAACATTTCCAGCTGCGTTCGTAACATTGCAAGCACTACTACACTTGAAAATGCGAATTACTTCGGTGGTAAGTATATTAATTATGAGTGAGCGATTGGAATCAGCGGAGTGAACATCGATTCAGTCGTTTTATTGCTAGATGCTTGAACCAATTGACTTCGAAAGACATACTGTAGGCAAATGCAATATTGTTGTGAAAATTACGCCATAATTGACGTGCAACAACGCACTCGTAGTGCACAACTGAACTGCAACCTATCCTTGCGTCGTTAGGACAAAACCTATACGCACCAATACTGCTCACATCTTGAGTCCGAGGTATTATCGGGTCAAAACTATGCGCTAAATACGATGGAATTTTCGCCACGAATGAAACAGCGAAAAAAATTTCACAGTTAGCAGCCATTCTCTTTGCCTTATTTAGCAGGATTTGCACATCATATATCTATCACTCGGCAGGTGGCGATATTCAAAATGTATATTTCGAAAAGACGTATGCCACGTCATTTCTCTACCAAACAAGGCGGCAGACTTTCCAGGGGATGTAATGAATGGGCAAACATTCTGTAATGAATACTACAGGGAACCCAGATACTTGAACTCCACTTATATAAAGGTGAGATGTGCGTCTTCTATATTCTTCTCAAATGACTTACAGGTGAATCAATGACGTTTTCTTCGGTGTGTGGTACCAGACTTTCGATAAAAAGTTGCAGAAAATACTACGGTATGAAATGAATTCCAGTTTGAAGGGATGTGTTCTTGGAACGCTATAATATATAAACTGAACGAGAAGTGATATAACGAAAAAAAAGACGTGGATGGCCTCAATACCAACCGATTCTATCACACATGACAGAAATGGCTGCTCAAAACAATCGCTATTTCTAAGTATGAACACATTATGAGCTTTCACACCACACTGGCAAATGATTACCACTCACTGGTAGCGCTACATGCGAGAATGAACAAAGACAAAGGTTATGGGGACGCTGTCGAAAAGAACGTAAAATAAAGTGTGCCTTCCTATACCACCGAAGTATACAATGGGCAAAGACAGTGCGAGAGTTGTAACAATGGCAACTGAGACTGTCTTTACTGAGTCAATTTTATTCTTTCACAATGTACCAACTTCCTTTTCATGGCTGAAAAGTTACTTCGAAGATTCTTAATAACTAATTTCATTCTGGTTAGGACATTGTACCTTTAGGACACCGCATTACAGCTTGGAGGCCAGTATAAAATACATCCAAAAGTAACACGACGATAACATCGATGCTGATACCATCGTAGTGCATATTTGGCAAGGCTGTGCAATGCCAGTGCACGATAAAGAACACCAGATGGTAGAAATTTTGGAGGCTTCCTTAACGGCCTCTCTCATAATCATCTCGTGGTTCTAAAACGTGAAGCTCCAGACAATATTATTAAGTGTGCCAAGCAGATGGTAGTACCAGGCAGGCTACCCGGCACTGGTTTGAGAAAACAGGAAATGCAAAAAAAAATCAGAGAGAGAGGTAAACCACACCAAGCGGGTAAAACGTAATCACGGATTTCCTCTTGCACGTGTGAAAAATGCCAATTGAGAAAAAATACGTCCACATCTATGGGAGGCTTTCTCAAAAGACCTTGCAGAAGCTCCAAAGTAAGAACATCACTTTGCATTTTGGATTCTGAATGACTGTGGAATCGAGAGAAATCAAATGGCAGATGTGTTGGCAAAGGCAGGTGATCATTGTACAGAAACCCGCCTCTATTAGATACACCATAGCTATGCGACATACACCAAATTCCATGTCAGCGAAACATAAATTATACTCATACACCTTGTTCTCAGGCAGCACAAAGGACTGGATATTTTAATTTGTCGACCCGTATCTTCAGCGCCGATTAGACTCTCAGCTCCCAAGACATATTGGCACATGTATCTCCTGAGACTTGGAACTTCTTAGACAAATCCCTTTTTATTCGGGGTTCACCATGCATGGTGCTTGGCTACGACAACAGGTGTGAATCACGTGCTGCTTGACTGTCGCGAAAACACCACCTTAGATTCGGCCCCGCAGATCGCGTTCCCCTTAACAGAGTTCAATGACAGAATGTTGAATCCATACAAACCAGGAAGGTTTAATGTATACATATAGAGAGTGACATGACAGTTCGTGTATGGCGCAGACAGCTGGGCTACATATAGTTTTATAATAGCGCGAGAGAAGGAGCACTTACGATGGTAGCTACGATGTGGTCCCGCCTTAATACACAGCGAGCTCGACTGGGCCCATTGGGAAGTGGCTACCCACTCCGTCCTTACAGGCGGTACCTTCTTCCAATCCTACTGGTATTGCAGATGCGGTCAGACAAGGGTGCGCACTTGCGAATGCGTTCCGCAGGCTTCATGAGCTTAGTAGACTGTTAAGGCAGGCATGTGCGTGAGGTGCAAGTGCAGGTTCTTACTCGTGTTTCCAAGAAAGCGATGACTTGTTCATCTTTATGACCCACGGGATAAAAAGAAATAACGACCGACTTCATTTCGGACAATCACCCTCGTTTTCGGCCCCATAAAGTCGACTTTAAGATTGAAAGAAAAAAAAACGCTCTTAATGGCATGTGGAGAAGAGACTCCGATCTAAAGTTCGTGCGTACAATGACATTCCACGAACATTCGGTCAGACCTTTATGCGATGTACTCCCCGTCTTCTAAGCACATTAAGTGTAGCTTGTTTTATTTTCCGGTAGTACATTAGTATTAACTCGCTACAAGAAACAATAAAAAAAAAGAACAAGAAAATCTTGTGAACCCTTCATGGTTTTCTAGTTAAAATTTGATTTCAAGAAGTGATGACTACGTTCGCGTTCTGTTCCATCGCGATCTTTGTGAAACCAAGACCAGAATTTTTCCGTCCTTCTAAACATGTTCGAACATGAGGGGCTCCATTTCACGGCAACGCAGGACAAGTAGACGGCCACGTGTGACATGCTGCTGATATGCTATAACCCGGAAGATAACTAGATAAAGTGTGCTGGCGAAGCGGCAATGTTGTGAAAACACAATCAGTGCTTCCTGTCGCATAGAGCCTGACATACAAAAGAAATCACCGCCGCCCGTAGCACCATCCAGTACGTCAGAACGCACATGACTACCACGTTCGTCGGAAGTGAAAGGGCGGGGCGCACAGCCCCGTCAAGATAAAAGTAGACCATGCCCAAGGTAACCCATATGTTTTGAAGCGATAGCGTTGAATCCCTCGTACTAGAATTATTTTGCCAAAGGTAGAAATAAATGGTAGCAGTTTAGCTCAGTCATTTTGAATAAAAACTAATTTGAAGAAAAAGGTATAGTTTCGTTACTCAATGTGACAGCCACATTGAACCGTACGGGTGTGCCTGCACGGAAATGGAAGTTCTTTCTCTCATCGAGAACTTGGTATAATTGAATTTTATTATTTGGAGCTCTAACTGTAATATTAGATATAACGTAAGAACTGAGGCCTATACTACGAGTGGAAAGTTCCGTATTGACAATTTTGTTTTGTTACAGCTTCCCTCCGACCTAGAACAATGCGTATTTCGCTGCTTGGTATGAGATACTCACAGCCATGCGAAGATGCAGAACCGCACGTCTTTTGCAATAGATGGGACACCCTGCTCTAAAACCGAACCGCAAAAGGTGAGAAATGTTTTTACTCTTCTAGGGCAAGTGAAAACTCTGAGTGCGCCCCTGATTACCCGTTCATGTGGCAAGCTTTCAAAAAGAAATATATGCAAAAAAATATTTCCATGCTTAGCGAAACTTTTCACATCTATGTAAAAGGTTTTGCAACGAAGGGATAGATTTATTGCTTTTCTCGTGAGTGTGGACCGAGTGCGTATCTTTAAAGAGGCCCTGCAACACTTTTTGAGCATAGTCAGAAAATGCTGCCGATCGGTAGTAGAGGCTCCCGAGAACAAGCGAGCCAAACAATATAACGCAGCACCTGGCCTGAAATTCCCAATTATAGATCAAAGTCAGCTAAAAATTGCTTTTTAATCTCGACATATCACTATTAAGCCTAAAAATCACTCTTAGTGAACTTTAACAAGGTGCTTGATCGGGCTGGTTGGTGCTGCATGGTAGACGAAGAAAGTGCTTAACAGCGGAAACGACAGGAGGGGTTAGAAGAGACTGTTCAGCGCTCTGTTCGCGTCTCTTCTATCCCCTCCTGTCGTTTGCGCTGTTAAGCCCCTTCTTCGTCTACCACTCTTAGTGAGCCCATCTATCAGCCATCGACTGATTTGAACATGGCGCGCTCGGTCGTTACAGAGATCGCCGAGGGAGGCCGGCACTTATCCACCAGTGCTCGCACGATCGCACCGAGAAAAAATCCGCGTATTCGAAGAAAAAAAAAAAGGAAAAAATATTTAAGGTCACAAGGCGTGCGTGACGATTTTTGTTTGGCCCTCGCCCACCCCTCCCTGCTTAGCTTCCAGCGCTTTTGCGGAACAGCAAAAGAGAGAATGCGTTTGCAGCGTGTGAAAAAGCTTTGTAACTCCCGCTGCTACTGACGGATTCTAAAAAAATTGCGGTCATGAATTTGCGAGGAAATACACTTTTCCAGTGAATTAATTCAATTATTACTCAAAAAAGTGTTTCAGGGCCCCTTCAAATGACTTTCTCTGTTTTTCACTGCAACGTCTTTAGATTAAAAAAGTATATGACAGAAGTTATTAGCCAGCTCATGCTGTCTGTCATTCTGAAGCGAGACAATAGAAGGGAAGTTCTCAATTAGAAAGAGCCCCAGCAAACGACAGGCGCAGCTGAGCGTGCTTTACGGACATGCTCTTGCCTTCGCCTATTTGCGACCTACACTTCGCCATATGGCGCTGACGCACAGAAACGTCGCAGGGGCGCCAAACCAAAAATAAATATTGCTTAAGAAGAAGGTGAAGGGAGCTGAGACTGACATGTGGACAATTGGGCATGATTAAGAAGTCTCGCACTAGAGATCTATCGAACTTTTAAGCAGGAAATTGCCAAGGAAAAGATCTATAATAATACTCGGGTTAGTTCTCCACTGTTTGAGGCCAGGACGAACGTATTGCGAACAAAGACATATCGGGCCAAATACGAAGGGGTAGACACGGTATGCAGTGCGTGTGGAGAGGAAGAAGAACTTCCGAACACTTGATATGTTCTGTAGAGGCTTCACCCTATAGTTAAGGATGACGGCGCAGCGTGTTTCAAACCACTGGGGTTTAGGGACAGGGAGGGCAAAATGGACTTTGATCGAGAAGAATAAACAGGGAGGAGGTTATTTGATTGTTGGCTATAAGTCAAGGCACGAGTGAAAATTAAACCCTTCACAGCAAAGTACGAGTCCTCAACCTCACTATTTAAAGGAAAAAAAATAAAGTCTAGTTTTCGGTTCACTAAGTAATACGGCTTGGTGGCGTGAGCCACTGCCCGATCTAAAGGGTACAGCCCTATCAATCCATCCAACCATCCATCCGTCGCACTTACGCAAGATGGTTAAAGATTTGGGAGGCTGTGCATATGTTAATATCTTATATGATAATCAACAGTTTGTGTACAACAAATATACGCCACACCAGTACAGCAACATAT